TTTCTAAATATGTTTTTAAATACTAATATAATTGATAATTTACAAATTTCAAATACCGCCTAAATAATCTAAATAAGTAGATGGAATTAAGAGGATTTCAAATCCTTCACCCAATCTCTCAATCCAAACATTGCACTAAAGTATTTCAATATTTGGTAAATATTTGTCAGCCCCTACCGGTAAAAAGAAAAAGATAACCAATATATTCACACCTGAAATTTGTGGAACAAGTTCCCGTTTCTCATCCAGGCGTCTTCATGCACATAAATTTTTGTGCCCATTAATTTACGCGGATTGTACAAACTCTTTGAACAGCAGAAAGTTTCAGCATAGCATTATTGGCATGGGTACTCAAATATTAATGGATTTGTTTGGATTGCAGTTTATTTGTCAAAATATATTTGCTTGTATCATCATTATAATTTTCAACACACTTTTTTATTTTCTCAATTATCTTTTTATCTCACATACATCACATCACAAAAAGTGCTACAATAAAAATATCTCTAATAGTTCACAATCCAAACAAACCAATTAATGATTCGTACTTTTTGTTCTTTATTTTTTGGGATTTAAATGGATTTGAAACAGGCAAAGAAATAACTAGACAAAAACCTCTGAGACGTGACCGGTCATAAGCTACGACGAAAATGATACACTGTATTCGTTCCATTTTAATAGGTTTGTTTTTTTTTTTCTTTTTTTACACTTTGTATTGAAACAATAAATCTAACTCACTATCTTTATAAAACACCTTTACATTAAATGAAATATGACTAATTAGCTTTACGTTAAATAAGTTAGATTATATTCGGTAACAGTTTACATTAAATAAGCACATTTTTAAAAAAATTATAAGGTAATTACATTATTCAGTTGAAAACTGAACTATAATTTGGAACCAATAAAAAAACAAAAATAAACCTATCACAAAACTGTGCGAAGAAAGTAACAAGATGCCACAAAAACGACCTATATGTGTTTTGTTTGATTGAAGAAATGGATAGAGTGGGAGGACCAATACGTGAAAAATGGTGTTTTTAACTTGCTGGATTCAATAAACGCCAATTCGTTCATTGAATTCATTCTTATCCAAGTTAAGTGCATCCACGACTCGCAAGTCAACTGATTTGCTCTCTTTTTCAATGGGAATCTTCACTACATAATCTCGAAAGCTTATCAACTGAAAACTACACTTTCCTACCAATAACATTTTCACAATGGTTCATCCTGCTTCCCATTTTCTTGTGGATGGAATTGAACCCGCACCTTTCTCGTTGTTTTCGTTTCAGCTAAAACTTTTCGTCGAGTAGAAACTAGTTGGACCACCTCATCACCCTAGTGATAAATAAATAGCTAAAATACATCACGATTTTATACCTTTTATATATATATATATATATATATATATGTGTGTGTGTGTGTAGATGTAGAAAACCAAAATACGTACATTCTAGTTGGAAATTTCATTTAAATTCGATCAATTTCATTTCCTACAAAAAAGCAAGAAAATCCAAATTCCAAACACTCTCTTGGTAATATACATGTCGTGATCTTGAATGGAAGGTTTTTTTTTTTTTTTTTTTTGTCGACACAGGGGTGTTCTGGTCAATTCTTACGGGCCCCGATTAATCCCCTGCGGCCCGGGCCCGATGCCCCAACCCGATCCAAGCACGATAAGTGCGCGGAGGAATCTAACAAAGCAGAGACTCAATTTTAGGACCAAATGATCACCAGTGGGAGGTGCTACTGTTGGACCATTCACGCGGGAGCGAATGGAAGGTGGACATGACAATAATGATTTTTGTCCCTCTTTGAGTCATCCGAATTACTTTTGTCAGACTTTTTTCTTAATGATGAAGATTCAAATTCATTTTGTTCACATCGGCCATTTTAATTATTGAATGAATGATTATCTTAAATGATGTCGAACAAATTTCAGCCTAAGATTCTTGATCATTAATGAAGAGTAATCTAATTATGCCTATGCTTAGTATCCTGTTAATGCCCCTTTAGACGAAGTTACACCTAATTATCAACTTCAGTCCTTTGATTTGCAATTGCAATCCTTGGCTTGGTGATACTTTGCTTTTTCTTTTTCCGCGGCTAGTTGGGAGGGTGATATCCCAAACAAATGAAGTAATAAAGGTTTGGTTTCGAGGCAGCAACAATAGTTATTAAATCTAACCCGACAAGGAATTCAGTAGAGGGATCGAATTACTGGATCATTGGTTCAATCGGTAGGTCACTAGTTGAGCCAGTGGATACTAAGTATTGGGTTTACTCAAATTGGGCCCAATACTCAGAAAAAAACAAAAAATTTTAGTTGAGTTCGTGACTCTAATTGAGCTAAATTCATAGTTAAAGAGTGACATTTTATGTGAATTGAGTTTGAACACGTCGTAACTTAGTTTACGTAACCCAATTGACATGCCTGTCATAGAGTCGGAGAAATTCGGTTTTTGATCTTATCATAAAGGGGGGAAAAAAGGAAAGGATTTTTTAACCGTTTCCTGCTATCTCGAATGCTAAAAGAAAATAAAAAAAAAAGTTGTCTTTTCTAAACAAAAATTTTGCCTTAATCCAAGTACCTGTCTCTTTTTTTTTTGGGGGGGGGGGGGGTTCAAAACCAATAAATACCTGCCACGACCCTAATTTCCTCAAATTATCATCTTCCCTATAACTCACCACTGAATTGCTATCGGATATAGCCATTTTGGTACCTAACAAACCAAAAGTCTCACGGGTCTGAGTTACTTAACCTAAGCTTCTTCGTCTCTTGACTTATAATACTATCTTGCATTTGCACTTGAGGAAAAAAGAGTAAAAAAGAGCATCAAGTCCCAATTGGATGTTATTTATATACAGGGAATATGCATTTTATATCTATCTTTTTTTCCTTTTAAATTTGGATAAGAGTTTATTTGGATGGTTTATTTGAGATAATTACTGTAACACTTTTTGTGATATGATGTATGTGAGATAAAAAGATGATTAAAAAGATAAAAAGGTGATTGAGATTTGTGAGATAAATTATTTTTTTCAAAACCTTTTTATCTAGGGTTGTAAACGAATCGAGCCGCTCTCGAGTTCAAAATATTAAACTTGTTAGCTCGCGAGCCGAGTATATATATATATATATATATAATATTTTTTATTTTAAGTGTATATATATATTTTATTTTCTTATTTTAATAGTAAAATTACATATATATCTTTAATATTTTATTATTTATTAAGAAAAAATATTATTTTATTTATTTTTAAAAAAATAAAATAATTATTTTTTATTTTTTTCGAACTCGAGCTCGAGTTTTAAATTATCGGCTCGTCGAGTTTGGTAAAATTTAGTCGAGACTCGGTTTGATTAGTTCAAAACTCAACTCGACTCGACTCGTTTGCAGCTCTATTTCTATCCAAACTAGGACTGTCAATGGAGCTGGGCCAGCCCGAGCTCGGCTCGTTTGGCCCGACAGAAAGCCCGATGAGTCCGATCATTTAGTGAGCCGGTCTGAGTTTGAACCTCAAAATTAGACCCGAATTAAATGTGAGCCGAGCTTGGGCCTTATTAGGCTCAACCCCGATATAGGCCCGGTCCTTTAATTACCTATATATATAATATTTATATTTTGATATTATGTATAATTATATATCCAAATATATTTTTACTAAATACTAAATATATATATAAATTACAAAACACAAAAATACATCTAAAGACTCTTTCATGAACTTTCTTGAGAGCCAATATTAGTAATGCATAACTAAATCTCTAATTTTTCTTATTGGTTGAGTAAATTTTTGTATTAGCATAGTATTGGTTGATTTTTTTTTTGTTTACAAACACAAAAATCATCAAGCATATTTGGATTTAAATCACAAGATTATAAAAAAAAGTTTCAACTTTTAAAGATGTATTGGCTTATGATTGCATGGTTTATTACTATTTTTCATGCATTTTAAATGGATTAAATATAAATATTATTGAAAAAATTTTTGGTTTATATACTTTTTAAGAACTGTTATTTGTTCATGTTTAGTTTTAATATTATAGTCTTGTAAATGTTAAATTAGTTTTACAACTTAATAGTTATAGTAATTATATTAAGAAAATTAAGGAGTAATAAGTGAGCTTGGGTTAAACCCGATTAAGACTCACAATCCGAATATTATGTGAGTTGAGTATGAGATTCACATTTATGAATCCGAAACTCATAGCCCGAATTCCGAAAATATTTCAAATTAAATGAATTGAGCTTGAACTCGTCAAAGCCCGGCTCATTAGGCCCGATTGACAGGCCTAATCCAAACACAATATGAATTTTATTTTATGCATATGCATGTTGACATCTGTCATCGGATGGAGGTCCATGACACAACAAAAGAAGCAAAAGCAAAACTGGCAACGACATAAGCACCGTATTACGAGACGACGGTGTGAATAAGCGTTAAGGACGGTGGGTGCCAGAGATATCCATATTGGATGTGCCACCATCCAATGAAAAAACGCCACGTGCTGGCTGTCCGTTCCCATATGGTATTCAAAAATGTAAAAGAAAATTAAAAAGAAGAACGCAAGACAAGACTCAAGAAACTGCCTTGCTTTGTTTTAGGGGCCACTTAAAAAAAAGGATTAAATATCTCTTTGAATCGTAAATTGGGGATAGGAATGCCATCGTAGGTGTTCGCACAGCTTTAATTTATTAATATAAATAAATATAAAATTTTTATATAATTTAATATTAATAAATTTAGAATATTTGACAATTAAACACAATTTTTATCTCATTTTTATTCAAGCGTGAACTCACTCGCCCTGTTTCAAAACTCCAAAAACTCAATACTATGTGAATACGAGTGGAGTGAAAGTGAGAAATTTTTGTGTGAATGATATATAGTATATACCTCTATTCAAAAAAAAAAAAAAAAAAAAAAAGATAGTACTCTACATTATTGTTTGTTTGTTTTGGGTAATGTGTGTAATCATACTCCTTTATAGTCTCTAAGCTGTGGCCAACCAAAAGGGACACTAAACTGGCACTTACACCTATACCAAACATCACTGCTACTGCTGCTGCTACTGCTTGCAGTTGGAAGAGAGTCTTTTTTGTTGGTTGGGGGGAGAAGTGTGAAACTGAAAGCTGAAAAGGAGCAGCAGTAAGAATTGAATTGAAATGGGGGTATTGGATCATCTCTCCGATATGTTTGATTGCGCCGGCGGCGGCAGCTCCAAGCTCAAGAAGAAAAAACAGTTGCAGGCAAGTCTGCTAGACTCCGTCTTCCCATTCTACTCTATATATTTGCACCTTCATTTTCGCCTCTGAGAAGTAGTACTAGGATGAATACTGCAAGACGATCTCTGGGTCAGATCTGCTAACAAAAACATGCATAGTTTCGGTTGATCAGCATCGCTTTAAGTTCGTTTATTTTGGTAAAAGTTCCATGTCTTCTTCTGTGTCTACTTGCAGTAAGTTTCCCCTCTAGCTGGTCTAGATCCTCTCACTCAAAGGTATCTCTGATAATTTATAGTGTTTGCTGAGAAATTCCTTATTCTGACGGTGAAAATTATTCGCAGAATAATTTTTTTTCGTGTAAACATATTTTTCAATCACTTTTTTACTCACTTTTTTACTGCTTCTCGTGTATATATATATATTATATTAAATTGCTACGATATATATATTTTTTGATTCTATAAAAGTTGCTATCCAATCCAAATTGACAATAATTCCACCACCATATCAAGTTTTACATTCTTTGATTTGGTGCAAATTCTTGGGATATACCTTCCAACACCCACCTCACTGAATGGTGGGTATGGTATAAATATGATTCAGATGCTCCGAAACGGACTTTGGGTCTCTACCAACTTTATTTATTTTTATTACTGGTGGACCGGACCATTCTTGAAATCAGGTCATGGGGCATCATTCCGGCCCGATTGAAAAGATGGAAAAATTATTGTAGTGGTTTTGATGTGATTTTTTTTTTTTTTGGGGGTTGGGGGTGGGGTTTTGTGTTCTGATCAGACGGTGGAGATTAAAGTGAAGATGGATTGCGAGGGGTGCGAGAGGAAAGTGCGGAGATCCGTGGAAGGGATGAAGGGGGTGAGCTCGGTGCAGATCGAGCCCAAGCAGCACAAGCTCACCGTCGTCGGCTACGTGGACCCGAACAAGGTGGTGGCGCGTGTGGCTCATCGCACGGGCAAGAAGGCGGAGTTGTGGCCATACGTCCCGTACGACGTCGTCGAGCATCCCTACGCCCCTGGCGTCTACGATAGGAAGGCCCCACCTGGGTACGTGCGATCCGTTGAAGACCCGCAACTGTCGCAGCTGGCACGTGCCACCTCCTCCGAAGTACGATACACTACGGCCTTTAGTGACGAGAACCCTTCCGCATGTATTGTCATGTGATGTGGATCTGGTCATCCCTCGTTACTCTTAAAACTGAAGCTCGTGTTTGGATTGTAATTTTCTGAAGTTTTTTTTTTTTTTTAAGAAAATATATTGCAGTGATTTGATGTATGTGAAATAAAAAGGTGATCGAAAAATATATTTACTTTACTAAAAAAAACGTAGAGATTTTTTTTTGGTGAAAAATCCCTTTTCAAACAAGATTTAAGTATTTACTACTCCTGATTAAAATTTTCTTGTGATTTGTCGATTCTCTCCCAATAATACTAAAAATTTTCACTTCATCGGTTAATGTTGAAAATCAAGTAATCAATCACACATATATGTATGTAGTCTCTTTTTTTTTTCAAATTATTTTTCCTTTCTAGAGTGAGTATTTGCTAGTAGGTACCACTATATAGGGCAAAAAATGTCAACCAACTAAAATGCCAAATGGTCATTAAATTATTGCTCGTGTCTTCGGTGTCTAAACATTAAATAATTTTTTGTCATAAATTAGTCACTAAATTAATTAATCAGCAGTACGTGTCAAAATGTAAGGACGTATGTCTGCATTATGGGTTTTTTTTTTTTTTGGGATTACAATCAGTGTGTTTAGATTGTAAGTTATTTGAGATATTTTTACTGTAATATTTTTTGTGATGTGATGTATGTGAGATAAAAAGGTAATTGGAAAGATAAAAAGGTGCATTGGAAATTGTAATGATGATGTAAGCAAATATATTTGGGCAAATAACTTACAATCCAAACACATTTATAATGCTGTTCTGATTATTTTGTAGATTAAGAGCAAACAATAATCGACGAAATGATTGTAAGTGTGTTAATTAGTTAGTTTAGTGGCAAATTTGGAACAATAAAAAAATTATTTAATAGTCAAAATTCGACCCCAACAATAGTTTAATGACTAGAGATTTTTTAGCCCAATTCCGTTTCATGTGGTTTGGCTTTGTCTTGTGGTCGTGGCTCTGGCTGGCAAGCAGTAGCTCAAGGGTGGGTGGTCTACACATTGATTTGTCGGATGAAATATGGGATGGGACGGGACGGGACGGCTGGAAGGTCTTTGCCTGCTTGATGGTTGCTTTATAACCTTTTTCTCCGCATGATCAAAAGATTATTGTTAGCAAGGCGCGTTTAAATTAAGCTTTAATCCACCGGAGTAGATCGTTACTTTTGAGTAGAAGAATTAGCACATGATTTGGGGCCGCAAGCGGCTGACTCGATGATGGAGTATTTTTCTCAAGCCCTTTTATGCCGGAGGGAAGATCCCAGTGTACATATCCCGGTAGAAAAGGAGCTGCTAGATATACACATTTTCACGCCAAAAAAAAAAAAGAAGAAGAACATTTAAAAACAAAAGAAATAAATAAATGAAGGACCTCTATTTGCTGCCTTCTTTTCTTTCTCCACTGATCAGGAGGATATGTTGATGGTGAATGGCACATATACAGACCACATCCTGTGGACAGGACTCTCGTCAATCACTAACAACATATATATATATATATATATCTAATTGTAGACAAATATATTAATTGTAATAGTGTATAAAATGTCAGTGTATATAAAATTAACTTTTAACAAATACTATAAGATTAACTCTTAGTCAATGTATACACTGTCATTATTAATGTATATAACTAGGAAAGAGTCCCACGCAATGCGTGGGAGTTGATACCTGTGTTGTGAATGAGTAATTGGAGTAACAATCAACAAATTTGTAATATTTAGCTGAAAAGAACATGGAGCAAAGTAAAAGAAAATTGTTAAAATGTAATGCTCTAATTTATTTTTCTAAATATATAGAGCTCATCATTCATAACAAGTGAGTGCTTTAATCGGTAAATTCACTATGAAATAAAGCATGATTTTTTATAGATTCAAAAACATTGTTTTCTTAAAAATGAGGGAACCTAGTGCCAACAAAAAAATATAGAGAAGATCAACGCTACTAAAGTGATGATATCACATTGGTATTATTATTATAATACCAAACAAAGCCCTTGCATCAAATTATTTTGGAATGAAATGAAACTTTTCAAACAGTTGCATTGACACTCTCACAAGGTGAATAATAATAAGTTGAGTTCTCAAATGTATAGATTACCTGTAGGTCATTGCACAGCATACCTGGAACAATATCATCAGCTGAACCAATGATTGTAATAGGAAATTTAGGATGAAAGCACATGACTCAAATAGTATGGCCTTCAAGCATTCGGAGACAATTTTTTACTTGATCATCCCACAGCTAATTGAAGTAAGACATGAAAAGGAGATCATAATTGTATATAAATTTAGACTATTTAATATTTCATAAGTATATGAGGATATGAAAAGCAAACCTTAATAGTGGGATCATCAGGATCCAATTATTAGTTAAACCTGCTTCCACCAATACTAGAACAATTAAAAAAAAAATAGCTTCCAAAAAAAAAATACAATCCATTGATATCTTATCATACATATATAACAATGCTAATATAGAAAAATGAACATCAGATTTTTGAATCAAAGAACTTAAATAACAAAAGACAAACTTTAACAATCTAATCAAGGAACATAAGAGGGAGGAGGGTAGCAAAATAAGCATACCTTCACGAAGGATTGAAATGGAAATCACAAGGAAAGGAAAGGGGAAGAGGAACAACCTATGGTATGAACCATAACCAGCTGAACCAATGATGTTTTGTATTAACAACCCCCATTATTGTAGCTACCTCAAAAATCAGCTCAACAAATGCTATAGAAGGGAACAAGTTTTGCAGTTACACTTCAAAGATGCTTTCCAAGAGATTCCTTATCTCTCATGCATTACTCCTATCTTAAAGATGCCATAAGTGCTCATTCTAATTAACCCACTATTTGTACGAGTTCAATTGCACATGTAGAAGTTTAGGAGAGGAAAACGTCTACAGTTACACCTCCACTATGGAGTAGTCAATTAATCATCATCTTGATACATTCATATAGTCTTTAATGATGCTTCGATTATTGAATTTAATTAGTCCCACTCTTTGCCCAGTTCAATTGCTTGACTTACCGTTTGCAATAATTCCAAGTTCACCCAACTACCTTTTTGTGTTAACTACAGATCTACGGATGGTTAAAAAGGTAAAACTGTCACTACAACCACATAAGTAGAATTTGAGAATATAATTATCATCCCACCAAGGGTACGCTTGTCAACTCACATAGCAATAAGTATAGCATGCTTGCACTCAAACTGGATCAGTTGTGCTATGCCGACATGTTACCTAAATTGCCCCTAAAAAAGGCAGATGAAAAATAACCAACAGTCAAACACCAACTCGTTTTTATATATATATAGAAAATTAACTTTTAACAAATAGTGTTACAGTAATTATTTCAAATAATACTCTATCCAAACAAACCTGTACTACCATTACCATCTTGTAAAGTAATGCAGCACGCCGGATTATGGACCTTTTAGGTGGTTTCAGCTTGCAAAGCTCTTACTGGTTGGGCCATTTCTTTGAATCCCTAAGGGTCAGAGTTAGGGGTGGGCAAAATTATCCGTTAGCCCAAAAATCCGTCATATCCGATTCGATCCGATCCGAAAATTAGAATATCCGATTTTTATTATTTGATCGGATCAAAAAAGGGTCGGGTATCTGCTAAGATGCAGGACGGGTTAGGGTCACATAATTAAAAATCCATGGGTACCCGATCCGCCCTGCATATATATATTTTTTATTTTTATTTTTATACACACACTATAAAATAATAAGTTAGAACTAAATAAATAATTTTATTGAATAAATTGTATTACAAATATGAGAGACTATAGTTTATTTACAAGATTCGTTTGTAAAGGCCATGATTTTATATTTTATAGAAAAAAGTTTAATTAATGTGGAACATATATATTAAAAATTGTGCTACTTATTTCAAATTTTTATTGATTTTGAATTCTTTTAATTTTTTCCCTTTATCTTATATTTTTTTCATATGCTTGTTTATTGGTGGAAAACCTTTTTTTAGAAAAAAAAATTATTAAATATTAGATGAATGTATAAAATATAAAATTAAATTGGTATAAATCATTTTTTTTAAAAAAATTAAATGATAAATGGGGCGGAACGGGTACCCGCTGATCCGACCCTATCTCAGTGGGTACCCGTTTTAGAGTACCTGCTGATATTCGGGGCAAGTAAGAGTCAGAAAATGACTGATCTGTAATGTACGAGTCGGATCAGTCAAATAGTGAATAGAACGGGTACCCGACTCGCGCCCACCCCTAGTCAGAGTTCAGCCCACTCTGGAAGATCACTACTGACAATCATAAAATCCAGTCCACCAGCCCATAATGAAAAAGTCCAACACTCCGCCCACCTCGTACTAGTTAGTAGTTACTGCCTCCCTCTATTTTAGTTGCTCGCTTCCTCCTTGCATTTGGCGGGAAACGCACAAAGCCACTGTGTGTGCGCGCGCGCGCGTGTTGAGTGCGTGAGAGAGGAAGACACGCTAACGAACAGCCGGAAAAAAAAAAGGTAGAAGATGGGAGATGAAGGGGACGGCGGAGCCGCCGGTGGGGATGAGATGGTGGAGGAAGAGTTTTCAGTGTGGAAGAAGAACACCCCTTTTCTCTATGATCTGGTCATTTCTCATGCTCTGGAGTGGCCATCTCTCACCGTCCAATGGCTTCCTCTGCCACCGCCCCTCCACGATGGCCCTCTTGCCGTCCACAAGCTGGTTCTTGGGACCCACACGTCCGACGACTTCCCCAATTTCCTCATGCTGGCCAACGTTCACCTCCCTAGAGACCCCGCTTCCGCTCTCCATCCCGACCCCGATGATGTAATCCCCAAGGTCTTCCATCTTACCTTTATCCACAGCACCTGTTTGATTAATTCTCCCAATGAAGATGCTATTCATAACAGTGATAAAGCAAGGGACTAATAGAGATTTCCCATAAGCCCGTGATTATTAAAACAAAAACAAATACAAGGAAAACAATTGCTGCTGCTAATTTCCCATTATTTTGATTTTTTTTTTCGCAAAAAAAATTTTTTAGGTACTATGTTGTCTTCCTTCTTGAGACATTGCAGGCTTTTGACATTTTACACTCATGTTCTCCAAGAATATTGTAGCATGTAATGCCGGTGTAAATTTGATGCTGTGATTGTAAAATGTGAATAAATGCTTGTCACAGGTGGAGATAGTGCAGAAGATACATGTTGATGGGGAAGTAAATAGGGCACGTTGTATGCCACAAAATCCATCTGTTATCGCTGCTAAGACCAGCAGCTGCGAGGTGTACGTGTTTAACTGTGAAAATCAACTTATAAATCAGAGAGAGTCCTGTGACCCTGACCTGAGGTTGAGGGGACATGATAAAGAAGGGTATGGATTGTCATGGAGCCCATTCAAACAGGGGCACCTCTTGAGTGGATCAAATGATTGCAGGATTTGTTTGTGGGATATTTCTGCATTGCCCAGTGACAAGGTGCTTGAGGCTTCTTTCATGTATCAGGTAATTTCTCAATCTCGTTATTTCTCTTTTTCTGGTTTTGGTACGTTATCTTGAAGAGTCTCTCTCAGCAATGCGAGTTTCGTAGAAGCTTTTTGTTTTTTGGGTATTGCTTAACTAATTTAAAGGAGATTAAATGTCATTCCAGGATCATGAAAGCGTGGTTGAGGATGTTTCATGGCACTTGAAGAATGAAAACTTGTTTGGGTCAGTTGGAGATGATTGTCGACTGATAATTTGGGACTCGAGGACAAACAGACCCCAGCATTCCTTTCAAGTGCATGATAAAGAGGTGAAGCAATTGTCGGAAGCTTTTTATCATCCAATACTTGCTTTTCTTGTAGTTATAGTGTTGGGATCTCCAGTAGAACGTTACCTTTATTTTGCCTTCCATCTCCTTGTCGATTTTTTGATTTCTGACATGTTTTGCCAACTATATGCCCATGTGCACAAATATCAAGCAGATACAGGAAGAAGATTACAAGTGTTCGGTAAAATTGGAGTTAAACTTGCTTTGTTGTGTCAGGCTAAATCCTGATCCAGTTGCTATTAGAAGTTGATATCACAAACCTGACTGTCAAGAAGATTTTCAGGAAACATATTGAAGAAACTCAAGCAGCAGCCTAATTCAATTTACTGCTGATATGTTCTGATGAAAAAATACTTCTGTGAAAAGGGCAAGCTGTGTTTCCTCAGTTCACCATTCTCCTAGACAACGTTCCCTTTCTTTTGCTGCTATGATCAATAGTTTCCATTTGTTGCTCCAATGTTTAAAATACCTGCTAACCGATACTTTCCTTAAGAGTCCATCAAAGTTAAAGATAATGGAACCTGTGAAGTCCTAAACTGAAGGAATTGGGATCAAACTGCCTTTGTCCTACCATTAGGGTCAGCTGATCAAGCCTGTCTCCTGTATCCTTCGCCACTGCTCTACAATATAGGTTGCAAGGAACAAAGAGTTGAACTGAGTTAAACCTTTGATGTAAATTGTAAATGCCGCTCAAATTCTCATCCTAGATTCTGATTTAATCCACTAAGATTGAACAAGGAGGAGAGGGAAACCTATCAAGAATTAATTAATATCTGGGATTCTAGAACTTGATATAAGGAGTGTTTTAATTTTTGAAGCGGCATGCCAAGACAAGAATTTCTTAATTTATTCTAGCATTCTCTAGATATATTCTGTTTACATCATATATAGTACTTTTAATATTAGTTGTAAAAAATTCCAATAAATTAGTACTTGTCATTGTCTTCCTTTCCCTTGTTTCTACCAAATTACTTGGATCTGTTAATGGAAAATAAGGTTGCTCGTGGATCTGTTTCTTGAAAGCAGAAGGAAGCTGAGCTTAACATGTTTATCATTTAATGCTTTTAGGTGAACTATCTATCCTTCAACCCGTTCAATGAGTGGGTTGTGGCAACAGCGTCATCCGATGCCACTGTTGGTCTTTTTGACATAAGAAAGCTGAGTTCCCCATTGCACATTCTGGGTAGTCACACGTAAGTTCTTCAAATGATTGAATTCTCATATTGAGTTTCATTATGATATTGAACATTTCACCCTGCCATTTATTTTCTTGGGATGGATCATATTGACTTGGAACTTATCCCAGTTGTCTGATTTGTTATTGGCTGCAACACCAGATCCATTTTGGAGTAGTAATTCTGGAGATAAAGAACTTGTTTGATGTGTGCTGTGCTGTTTGCTATAAGTAACTTTCCCTTAGAAGAATCCTTTTGATATTACTTGGTGACAATTTACGTGAAGCTTTCTAATTATTGGCTTATAATACTTTTTCATGAGGCTCAAATTCCGAGCTTCTAAAATTAAGAAGCTATTTATCAATAGCCATTAAACTTCAACACGGGCATGCTATCAATTACACTTGTTTTTGGACTAAGTTTGGAAATTGTTAGCTCTCTGCTGTGATTTAGTCGAATATATCTGTTAATGAATGAACTATTAGCTTTATACATGGAAAAATGCTTACCTTCTAGTAAAATCTTTGAGACAGCCTTTTGACTGCCTAGGCATCATTGCCAAATCAGAGATCTTCTTTAATTCATTCTTGCTAATGTAGATATTAATTCTACTTTCTATCTGCATTCTTATTTAACTAAGATCAGAACTATTTCTACCCTTTCTCTTTCCTCTTTCTCTTTGTTATTGTTATTGTGAAAAGCAAATCTATCATGACATAAGATGCACTGAATTTCCTATTTTCCAACAGAGAGGAGGTATTCCAAGTAGAGTGGGATCCTAACCATGAAACCGTGTTAGCATCATCAGCTGATGATAGAAGATTGATGGTGTGGGATCTTAACAAGTAATCAACTCATATCTCATAATACTGGTTCTGACTGCCTTACCCCTCGTTTTTTCCCTGTTTGTATTCAACTTATTGTTAATCAATAGGGAATGATTAGTCAAGCAAAGCGACTTACAGGAACAAAATGGAGAAGCGTGGATCCAGAAATGCCAAATGATGAGCCGAATTCTCGGACTTCCATTTATTGTCTTTGATTTCCTCATTTTGGATGATTTTCTGCAGTGATAACTTTTGGTTTATATGTAGCTTATCAAACTATATATGTCTTTCAGGGTTGGGGATGAGCAGTTGGAAGGAGAAGCTGAAGATGGTCCTCCTGAGCTTCTCTTCTCTCACGGAGGTCACAAAGCAAAGATATCTGACTTCTCCTGGAACAAGAATGAGCCATGGGTCATTTCAAGCGTAGCAGAAGACAACACCCTTCAGGTTTGGCAAATGGCAGACAGCATTTATGGTGACGATGATGTTGCGGTGACAGCAGATTTTCCATAGCCATTACCTTTAATTAATGGTTTTGTATTGGCCTGATCATCGTCTGTGCTTGGTAGCGAATGAAACATTCGTTCTTGTGACTTACCCTTGGGGTAACAGAATTTATTGCTCTTGTTTCTATCATTTTGGTTAATTTAGTCAAGATTCTTCGTTGAGTCTGTTAAAATTTTTTGTGCTATTTTCAGGATGTAGAATGTAATGGTCGGAACAAGAGAATGTGTTATAATGCTCCGACTAGTGTCTAGTCAAGCCTTTTTTTTTCCTCTTTCCCTTTTGGAGGCACTTAATTTGGTACATTAGCAGAGGAAAGATTGAAAAGGTTTTAAGTTAGAAAAGACAATAAGAGAAGGTAACTTTCTTTGTTTTTGAGAGAAACGAAAGAGAAAGGAAGTCAACAGATTATTAGCTTGTGTTCTCTTAACGCACAAAACTTTGTGTTGGGGTTGCAATTTTTTTTTTGAAAAATTATTACGTTTCTCGTGAATGTATTTTTAAATTACTTTTTTATTTTATATATATCAAATCGTTACAATAAATTTTTTTTTTTTATAAAAAGTTCAGGAAAATACAATCCAAACAAAGCTACGTTTGGTTTGGGAGACGGTTTCTTATTCTTTAAAGAATTAATCAATTTGAATCATTTATGAATCCTTCCCTACACATTATAATCATAATATAAAAGAGCAAGTATATTGTAAAATTTTTATGTCGTATCTATCTAGTGATTTTTTATTTTTAGTTATTTTGTTCCTATTTGGACAGATGGAAATGTATTTGAACATGTGGATGGTAATGGGTGTGGGCACAGGGGAAGAAATAGGGGGGCAGCAGGGGATGGGGAAATAAGTTAAACAGCACCATTTCTCCGCAGTTGAAAGTTTCAAGTGAAAAATGAAAAGAAGAAAAACAAAAGAAATTGGATGAAAAGAATTTAAAGAAAACCCTCGCTAAATATGGAGAGACAACACAAAAGTGATTAATGGACTACACGAAGCCCAAAGAATAGTAGGCACGTTTGCACATACGAAAAGGTAAATGGCCAAAACTTTACTCATAATGAGGCTTATAATCCCGATTGCGGCATACAATCCAAAGCACCGCGTGATGACGGGCCCTTTGGTATCGAGTGGTTGAGGTACACGGGAAAAGGCCTACCGGAGTCGAGAGAGACCTGGGAGAATTGTCCTTTTGCGTCGTCACATGCTGATGAGTCAGTAATGAGTGGTTTTGACACACCACGTGTCGGTCACTAAAGTCGAAAGGTCCGGCTATAGCCTACGGGGAATCCCCCCGCCAAATATATACTAGGCATTGGACCCCGCGGCTATCGCGGGTGTCATGTCATAGAGTTGTTGAATGATGAGGAATATAAAATAAAATAGAAAGAATCACAAATAGAGGATTATTATTTTGTTGAATATTAGAGTGGTGATTGTAGATTAAGCAAATATGAGATAGTATATGTAAACGTAGAGCGATGTGAAATTGGTATTTATTGTATCTAGTGTAAGAGTGCTAACTGATGGTTTATTTACGAAGAAGATGTTTGTGCAAGAAATAGATTATGAATAGGAAAGCAAAAAGCATGTGTTTTTTTTTATATATACATCCTAATTTGAGAGTGTACTTAGGTTAATGTAAGATTTATTTAATAACATAGATTTAGAGTATTTTGCATCATAATATAGTTGGAATAGTGGATGGAGAAGTGATAGATTGGAATATTGGATTGATTTATTTATAAATAGATATAGTAAAATTGGTGTGATTTGTGTTGTGTTTTTTAAAATTAATACGATCTACAGATTTGATGGATAATATTGGTTTCAAAAAATTTTGTTTTTTTATTTTAATTTAGTGATAAGTAAATATTATTTAAATTAATGGAATATATATATTAATTTTTTAAAGTTGGTAGGATGGAAAATTAGGTGGAGAATTGCATTGAGAGTGTTATAATTTATTGTACTTAGTTTATGTATTCTAGGATGATGATATTTTCATAATTTGGATAGCTAGGATGAGTAAGTGTGCATTGTTGTAGCAGAAAAGTCTATGAAAAGGATATAAAAGAATGGGAAGTTTGTTGAAAAATAAATGGATAATAGATATTTTTTGGCCAATTTTGATATAGTTTGGGTGTTGTGTGATGAGATAAATTAATAATTTGGAATAATTTGATACTATAGCTTGGTAAAATATGTGTTTATTCATTAAGTAGGTTTTTTTTTTCTATAAGTAAAGATGATATTGATTTAGTTATGAATAAATGTGATTGAAATAGATGAGAGCTGTATTTTTTTAATTAATAGAATCTGAATAAGTAAAGGATAATGTTAATTTTGAGAGCTAATAGATTTTATATTAATAGGTTAGTACTAAATGGATATTATTGAAAGTAAGGTGATGCATATAAAAATTTTTTTTTTTTATAAGAAATGGAAATGATTGCACATGAAAATTATAGAGTTTAATCACTGTAATTTACAGTAGAATTTTTAAATATTTACTGTTTGATGTTTATGCGACTTATTTTATGGTGCTCAAAGTTTCCAAAGTGATGGCAAGTGAGAAATTAGAGAAAATTTTCCCATTCCATTTCCAAAGTTTCAAATGTAAATGGACCCCGGCGCCTGATGATTACCAAGACTTGGTGAAATGTGACAAATTACAATAGCTGCGTCAACCCTTTCTTCTTCGCTACAATCCTACGCTGATTGTATATTTTTCTTGCGTCATGTGGAATGGATTAGCAAGCAAGAAATCGATTGAAGTTGAAACAGACGAAGAACGAAAAATATCCCCTGTTTCTTTTGTCATTTGTCAAATTTCCAGAGTCCTATTCGCGTCTAATTTCCTTCAGTTCTTCCACCAGCAGATCCTGATCAAGGATTCTCAAATACGACCAAAAAAAAATAAAAAAAAGAGGTACGGTGGGTTGCCAGTATTGTTCTTGCAACATTATCGACCACAATTAAAGATCTGAAAACTTCTAGTCAGCCTCCTGGCTTACCACGAATGAGTTATCGGGTTTTTTTTTGACAAAGAGATTCACAGAGAACAATTTAACTTCTAGGATGTGAATAGTTGATGAGCAAATAGTGTCCCTGTAGCTTTAACCGTCTGTCATGTCATCTTCTTAATGAGTGACTAATTATATATATATATATATATATGCGCGTGTGTGTTTAGTATTTTATTTTAGGAGATATAATGGTTTAATTTTTTATTGTTTATATTTTTTGGGGTTTTGTTTGTTTGTTTGTTATATTTTTATTATTTATTTATTTATACACATGTGTATATATATATGTATATTTAATATTTTATTTGAGCTTGTAAGATTGTTTAATATTGTTTTATCGTGTCTATCTTTTCTAGTTTTGTTTGTTTGTTATATTTGTGGTGTTACTATTTGTCTTGTGATTCATGTGTCAGTGCGATATTTGTTTTTTGAGTTGTATCATGTATATTTTTGCTATATATATAGGAGTTCGGTTTAAGTATTTGTATGTAAATTTCTAGTTGTTTGGTTATATTTTTTATAGTTTTAGAGAAAAGTTTGTCTTTTTTATTTTGGTTTTCAGTGCTATATTTTTAAATTTTGAAATATTATCATAGTAACATTTTTGAAATAGAGGGAAATTATCTTGTATTTTTAAAAACAATTAGTTGTATAATGCAAGCTAATACAAAGTGGCACAATTGATTTATATTTATTAGATACACATAAAATTTTTGTCGATATATATATAATTTTCAGAAAATCAATATTTTTGTCGATATATATATTTTGCTGAAAATAAATATATATAAAAAGGCACACAATTAATCATCACTTTGTATTGACCACATTTATGTTATGTTACTCAATCTTAAAATGCACAAGCTTTAAATTAATAATTTAGTAGTTAACAAATATTATCGAAGTAACATTTTTGAAATAGAGGAAAATTATCCTATATTTTTAAAAACTATTGGTCGTATTAGTGGAAGCTAATACAAAGTGGCACAATTGATTTATATTTATTAGATATGCACAACATTTTTGTCAATATATATATTTTTCAGAAAATCATTATTTTTGTTGATATATATATTTTGGAGAAAATGAATATATATATATATATATATAGATAAAGGCACACAAATAAGATGCAATAATATATATAGATTTGTATAGCCCTAAAAATTCATGCTGCATTAGGGAATGGAAGGTAGCAACTCGAACAAACAAAACCAAAGAAACAATAATTAAGTGAGATGACATCTAAAGACCACAAGGTACAAAATTGATAGGGAAATTATGTAGAGACCAGCACAAAAGAGGACAAAATCAGCACCGAAATTACAAAATAACCGGCGTCCAAGGATAATTGAAGCAGCGGACAAAAGAGGACGTGGAAGGAGAATTGCACCAGCGGACAAAAGAGACAAAATCAACACCGAAATTACAAAATAACTGGCGAAAATTACTGTAGCAAGCCCTTCGGCGCTTTGTAGTTAGAGACAGAGATACGTTCACCTAGAGTTGATTGTTCACGAGTGTCTTGATCAAATGCCCCGGCTTGAATTCGATTCGACTAAGTTTGAGTTCGAACTCGAGTAGCTCAACGCATATAGCAAATCAAAAGTTCGAAACCTCCATTTGTACTACTTGCTCTATTATTGGTATATTATTTATATTATATATTTATTTTAATTATGAAATGATTAATAAAAATTTATTTATGTTTTAGATAATTTACAATAAAATTTTTAAATGGTGAAAAAGTAATATTGTAAAAACTAAAAAAGAGACAAAAATTTTAGGTAATTTATCATAATTCTTTGAAAATTTTAGATAATTTACCATAATTCTTTGAACTTTTTTTAAAAAGCTTTTCTAGTATTATTTCAAACCCTAGAGCTCGACTTTGGAATTACATAGTCGAGCTACATAATTTCTGCTCGCTCAATCTTGAGTAAGCTTGTGTAGCATCAAGTTCGAACTTGAATATAAAACTATTCAAATTCGACTCGACTCGACTCGTTAACACTTCTATATTCAAGCCTGTAAACTAGTATTGGAAAGACATCCCTGCCAAAAATATCCTTTACCGATAACAACATATAAAATTTGTAAGGTAGGTCGCCTTTTAAAAAAAAAAAAATTTTTTTCAAGGAAGGGATCCTTAAAGCTTGGTAAAGATAACTGTAAAAGAAAGAAAGCAAACATAAACCTAAGAAAACAAAAACCCAAAGGGAAAGAAATTCCCGATCTTTATCAGAAGCCCGTTCTGTACCCCTTTCAATGGAATAAACGGCAAGGTGAAACAGCAAAAAGCATCAGCAGCCGCATCAACACCAAAGAGCCGAGACCTTTCAAAATAAAAGAATCTGATGGTTGGATGTGACGAGCCATCTAGCACAGCAGCTTCAGGGGGGCACAAAATTTTTGCAAGAATGAAAAGGTTAAAAAGCTTCTTTTTTTTTCAGAGCAAAATGTTAGACACATAAGGAATAAACGCATTAAATAACAATAATTAGTGTCTGGAAAAAAAGAATAAACCGCTGATGAAGAAAGCTATCAAGCTGATAGAAAACCAAGAAATTTGGTTTCCTCTTCATAGCATCTGCCAGCTACACTAAGGGAGCCATTCTGCTTTACATAACACATTCACAAAATAAAGGCTGCTGATGGTTCATAAAGATCTGAAAACAATCCCCCCCCTATGGAGCTTCATAGATCAAGGGATGATGGCCTAACTTCCAGACTCTGAAAGAAAACAATGAGGAAGCATCCACGATAGCTTGTCAACCTCCTGTTCCGGAGCGTGCAACTCCTGGTAGAACAATGCCAAAAAAAAAAAAAAATATTCAACATCATATAAAAATTTTTTGATAAGGGAACATCATATATAAGGAAAATGTCTACCCAATAGAATAAAATTTGCCAAATGATCTCCAAGATAACTGGGAAACATTTAATCCAAGTATTTTACAATTCAAATGTTGATTCCAATCAACAGCATTTGAGGTCATACAAAAGAACAGTCTAGCAATATATCTCAAATGCCTGCCAAACCATTCAAAAATTGTAACAAGTACAAATAGTCTCCAAAAGTAGCTAGCAGAAGCTAACTCGGATAGCATAAGAACCTATTTTCAAATTACAGACTCGTCTGCTGACATTTACCAAGATGTTAAAGATGGGGATTAAATTCTTAGAGAATGTCAAATTTAACTGAGAGAATTTATAAAAATGAAACTTTTCCTGACTGACGCTACACACGGCAAACATGCCAAGTTCCTCAAGTGTTTCTCGATAGGCAGCTATAGTAACCCAAAAAAAATTAGAAATTATATAATTCAGAGGTTAAAATCATGTCCAACATTTAGTCATTTACAAATGCACTTTTGGAAGTTGTGAACTCAATGTCAAACTTCAAAAGTCTTAACCAATTTTCAGCCTTTCCTTTATATGATGACACAATAAGTTTAACCACCAATTTGATGCTCAGGAAAATGTGTAGGAGAAACAGACTGCAATTTTTCATCAATCTTACTTGACATAATTTGGGCTAACCATTTAAAATGAGGTGCACACTCATGTTATTTTGCATGAAGTCATCTCGCTATACAATGTCTGTACTAAGGGACCCACTCATATATGTCTTGTTAGTATGAAGTGGATTAGGATTTAAACTCACCCAGTTTTTTCACAAAAGAACTACTGAAAAGTTTGGTGCTTGACTACTGTTGCTCGCTACAGTTCAAAAAATATGCGAAAGCCCAAAAACAAGTACGACTATAGGATGAAGCAAACAAATGACTATGGCAATCAAACATGTTGATAGAGAAAAACTACCATAAAAACCAAAACACCTTCAATTATAGGTTGCAAAGAGAAAACCAAAACGACACTGAACATATTACAGCATTGTCATGGGAACTAATACATGCATACACACAAAAATCAATATATGTAACAATACTCAAAAATTGTGATCTATGTAGGTATTTACATATATATCATGTTTGCATTTTATATATCCAGAAAAGCCTCACCAGTGAAAAACCTGAAAGAGTCAACTGCATATGCATGATCCAATAGCAATAATCAAGTAGGCAAGAAAGTAGAAATCCATTACGACATATATGCTGAAAAAGGCTAACCCTTGAAGCTAATGTTCTGAAGAAGATTAAAAGCACCCATTAATTAGTAATGAAGAAAATAAGAAATGACACTAGATGACAAGCACAACAACTAAGATGAAGGAAGTAGTTTAAAACAGGTGCACAAGAGACTAGCAACAAATAGAACTTTAAACATTTTGAGGCAGAGAAAGCCTTCTGCTAACTATTATCAAGTTCAATAACCTATTTTCCAGAACGATGACTAATAATTACACATAGAAATGTAGGCTATATGTCACCTTTTTTTTTATTCCCGTTAGAAGTATTGGTAGAAGGCACGCCATTGCCCATTCCACAACCAGGAAGCTCCTTCAAGCCTGAATTTTGGTTGCCTGAACAGTGAAGATTCTCAAATTCACAATCATTGAAGCCTTGACCATTCAATGTTGCAGCTTCAGCACTTCTGCCTTCTGATCCGGGATGAAGACAGTAAAGTTGATCATCACATCGCACATTACATGGATTCATCACATATGCAGCCGGCAGATTATGATTAGCAAGATAAGCATCCCCACTCTTGTTGGCTGACTTCTGATATGGGAAAGATCCAATCTCACCTTCAATCCTTCCTCTGATATCCACAAGCAAGCACTTAAGCCTTGCAATTTCAGCTTCCAAAACAGCCTGACCCTGCAGCCTCTTCATCAGTTGCTGATTCAAAGCCCTCAACCTAACAACCTCATCCTCCAATGAAGCAGCCCTAGCCTTTTTCTTCTCCCGATACTTGCGCACAGCTTCACGGTTCCCTAAAGGTCGTTTCTTTGACTTCTTTTCAGTGGACTCAGCAGTGTCATCAGTGGGGGTCTTATCTTCGCTTGGGGCAGGCACAATTTTTGTGTGGACATGATAACAAGTGTGGGTGTGCGAGTTATCAGGACCAGGCGGGTTGCAAGTATGGGTATGGGTACAGGCATGGGTATCTTTAAGAATTTCATCAAGGAAGCTACCCATAGAGCAACTACTTGGAAGATCACCAAAACTCGAGTTCGAAAACATTTCATGGTTTGAAAACTCAAGCTCCCCGTCATCCATTATACCAGCAAAACGCTGGCAGATTTACCAATTAGATACAATCTTACGAAAATGACCCAAGTCAACTCAAAAAGCCTACCTACGCTCGATCAGAAGCCTAAATTCGATACGGGGTCAACCAGATGTCAAACCCTAGAAAAAACAGAGCCCAAAATGCATGATAAAGCTAAAATCTTCAATCGATTCAGGCATAAAGGAATTGAATTCTCACAAGCAGAACAAGTTTAAAAGCCTCCAATTAAGGGCAGGGCGCCATGGGATCAAGATACATAAAACAGCAAAAACTCCCCCAAAGCTGATGAATTATTTCTTTGAATCCGGTCGAACAATTGAAGAATTAAAAGCAAACAGAGCACTTAATAAAACTTCAAAATTCAATGGTTAAGCCGCAGTATACAAAATTCAAAAGCAGACATACCCATTCACACAAAATTTTGTCGAGAAGTTGACAAGAAGCTGCAAATAATTGAACCCTTGTCGGAAAAATTCAAGGTCGACAAGGCGGCGACAAAGACAGACCGTTCACGCCCGTGCTTTTTCTTCCTTCTCTTTTTCCTTTGGTGTGTTGAGAGGGGGCCGCCACAAGGGGAATCTTGACGAGGAGTTTTATAGAAGAGAACAGATGGAGGGTGTTGATTTCTTAGGTTAAAAATGGATGGCGAAGTTTTAATGGCGGAAACAAAAGGATGAAGCCATAGACACAGAGGCCATTGGCTCATCAGATTCCTACTGAAACTTAATCAGTGGAAAAAAAAATGTGTGTGTTGGGGTGTGGGGGGGAGGGGGGGCACTCTTAGAAATGTCCAAAACTCAGACGAATCCTTTTCTGATATTCGTACATATTTGAGGGGCTGATTTTGCAATATGCTCTTTGTCTTGGGCGTGGGCCTGCTGCTGGAAGAGCTCCGACGATGCTTGCAATGTTTCACTTTTGAAAATCATGCCTCCCGTACAGAAAGTTTTTAATTTTTTAAAAATAGGGGGATCTTTCTAATGGTTTAGGATGTATTTCAAGTACCATATTTTTAAAATTATAAGATTAATTTGAAAAAGTAAATAAATATAATGGAATGCAAGTAAGATTAAATAAGAAAAAGTATATAAATGTAAAAGAGGATAACAAATATTAGTATGATTAAATGAATTTTAGGTGTGTTAATAAGTGTCCAGTGAACAAAAACTCTAAAAAATATATAATCAATCACTTTAACTGATTTGAAATGAGCTCAATTTGCTAGGGTAAATATTGCATAGATTGACAGAGCTTTTTGGACCAACGAGTAGGGTTGCAAATGAATCGAGTCGAATCGAGTTTAGTTTTGACCTAATCGAGTTGAGCCTCAACTTAATTCTACCAAACTCGCTTGAGTTTGAGCTCGACCTCAAATTCGAGTCAAGTCGAGTTTGAGTTCGAAGTTAAAAAAAAATAAAAAAAAATATTTTTATTTTTAAAAATAAATAAAATAATAATTTTTCTTAATAAATAATAAAATATTAGAAACATTTATGTAATTTGATTATATATATATATAATTAAACCATCTCGTGAATTAGCGATTTGAGTATCTGTGAACTCAAATTCGAGTTCGAACTTGATTCGAATTGATAATCAAACCATCTCGTGAATTAACGATTTGAGTACCTGTGAACTCAAATTCGAGTTCGAACTTGATTTGATCAATTCGAACTGGTGTTCGATATTAACTAAATTTAAATCCAATGTTAACTCGAACTGTTTATTCGTGTGTGGTTCGACTTATATATGGTCCCACCAATGAGTAGGAATCTTTTGGTAAATGTTTTTTTTTTTTTTTTTGAGTCGGTCATGAGAAAGGGAAAATAAGTTGTCGAAGTCAAACCTTTGATCTTTACTAGTAGGTGTAGTAATGATGGAAAAGAAGATACATCTGTGTGTCGTGCCTTGTGGAGCACTAGTCTACTGTGCTCTGTGTCATCTTTGGCTTTACAAATAGAGGATTGGAAAATGAGTGCCAAAAATGATGCTGCTAAAAAAAACACACACACACACGCACGCACGCACATGTAACACGAGGACCTAAAGGAGCCTAATGTTTAGCCTTTAGAGCTTCTTCACTCGTGAATTTTGAAATCCAATTTAGACCTCGCTTGGATTGATGTTTTTTAGAATTTTTGTAAAAAAAAAAAATTATAACAATTTGATATATGTGAGATCAAAAATAATTAAAAAAATATTAAAAAAATTCTTTAGAAAACTTCAATCCAAATAGTGTTTATATTTTCTAGGATAATTTCATAAACATCCCCTGAGATTTCTAATAGTCTTACTATCCTCCCTCTGAGATTTTCAAAATATCAGAAACCTCCCTTAAAATTAATTAGCTAGTAACAAATCAACCCAATTCAAATACAAAAATAATATAAAATTGGTGTTAGGAGAGAGAAAATAATTTAATTCCATAACTACCCTCAAGTTTCGCATTAGATAGTTAATTTACTACGAACAATATATATCTATTTTAACTTTATCAAATGTGAAATGGTGTAACTATTACCGCATTCATAGAGCGTGAACAAAATATTAACTTTCTAACTCTACAACAAGTTTAGCAACTCAAAGTCTCATCTACATATTACACGTGTAATATCATACCATTACATATATTATAACACATCAATTGCATAATCTGTTATAAGAGAAACAAAACATGTAAACCATACTATAACCAATATTTCGATTTTTTTTAAAAAAAAAAACCATTTGTTGAATAATCACAAACAAGAAAAAATTTGTCATAATTAAAAGGTTTTTCAATTTAGTAGCATACGACCAACAATTTTACCTATACTTCATACAAGACCAACACCCATTTTCGATGACAATAAAAGTAACAATTAGGATAAAAAAGAGAAAAACACTATAATTGAATACCAATCATCAAATGGCGCAGATCACACAGAACATAATACAAACTCCATAATGCCATATTTTTCATTTTTTGTTTGATCCAAACTATTATTTTTCATTTGCAGGGTCACTATAAGCGTGACCATCAAGAATTACCTTAACATCTGAAATCAAATAATAAAAATTTCCAAAATTTAAGAGCAGAAAAATCTTATAGGCTAATCGTGAGATTTTCACAATCACCAAAATTTTGAAAAAAAAAAATTGAGAGCAAATTCCCTTTTTAAGTCTCCTAAATCCTTAGATATGCCTAAAGAAGCTCTATTTCTCTTATTCCACAAAAACCACCAAAGTCTGAATCATTGTTTCTACTCACGCTCATCAATTATCTATCACATAAAGGCTCTTATATTTGGTCCCTTTTTTGTACTGGCATATTAGAAAAATTTAAAAAAAAAACTTATAATTTGTCATTATTTCTGTTAAATCTAGTTAATAACAATTAAAATTATCATGTGAATATAATTGGGAAATATCTCTTAAGTTGTGTGGGTAATTAAGTCATTTCTCCATGATTGATATGGCAATTAGACCCCAATTATCTAATAGGGGAGGCTTCTCATGTTTTAGAAACCTCAGGGGACGGTAGCGAAATTGTCAGAAACCTCAACAGAGGTTTCTGAAATTATCCCTATTCTCTAATGAAAAGACAAAAGAGTTTTTTTCCTTATAAAAAAAGTAAAAGTCCCTCTGATTCTTCTACTCCTTTAACTGGAACTAAGCGTGGGGTGATCAGCCCAATTACATCCACTCCCTTCCCGGTATCTTCCATCCAAAAAGGTCGAGAGAAAGGGTAATGGATGGATCCCAAGCGTTCCTTGCTCCACCGAGATTGATTTGACGTATGCGGGGCCTGGGGCCCGTGGCAAGGTGCAATTGCCCGTCACGTTCTTTGGTCCTAAGGCGTTGTAATTAAAAAAAAAAAAAAAAAAGGATGATCCAGTATTAAAAAAAAGGATGAGGGGAGTGGACGGCGTCAACGGTGGTAGCGCTGTCAACAGGCTCGGCCCGTCCAGTGCTCGATTCGAAGAAAGTGGGGGGGTCCAATCTATTGTAATTCTACGTTGGGTAGAATTTGAGCCAAAATTTGAGATTCGATTAAAATGTGAACCAAGATTAATCCTTTATATGCTTAACTCGATTAAAATCCGATCCATTATTTTATGTATATAGACACATACCTAATTTATATAGCGATAAATTTATTATTTTTAAATATATAATGTATAATTAGATTATTAGTAACTAGTATTAGTTTTGAAAAGAGTTAGATTCATTTGACAAATAAGAGGAGGATTGGGTTGGATGGTAAAATGAGAGGAATTATAAATAGAAGATCTTAAAGAGAAAAACCTATTAATAGTTTATTGACTAATGACCATATATTACTATTGATAGGTTTCTCCATGTGTTTCGAAAGAATTAGACACAATTATTGTTGAAAAATTTTTGATTTCTGTACTTTCAATGAACCTTTTACTGATTTATGTGTAGTTTTAATATCGTAGATTGCAAATTAACTTTACTACTTAATGGTTTTACAGTAATTATGTTAAGATAACTAACGAAAATTCAAGAATGATAACGGTCAACATCAAATTTTCATAGTCAACAACTTTGAATTCGCACTTTTGTCCTCGATATTTTTATTTTTGAATAATTATATTCTCCTAAATTTTAAATAATGATATCAAGTGTTTTAGGATGAAGTAAGATGCAAATTTGAAAAAAAATTGTGTTAAATGGGTGATAAGAATTCTAATATCTCATATTTTTAAGTGTCAAATTGGTATAATATATGTATATTATTATTATACACTACTAATAATTAATTGGTAATAAGTTCTATCATTTTTTTTAAATTTTTAGCGATAATTTAACAGCCAATTGAATTCCCTTTAAAATATATAAAAATTTAACTATTTGTACATTAAGTTTTCTTTTTTCAAAGATTTTTCTAACAAGTGCCTAATGGAAACTTGTTAAGATATCTAAATCATACATAACCTACTATATGAACGCACATACATTAACAATTATTACCTTATATTGCAAATATAAACTTTTCCTATTTAACTTTAACTTTCCAAAATATTAACACTTGAATTGCAACTTAATGAGTGCCCAATGGACACTCATTGGATAAGTCAATTTTTTTCTTTATGTTTCAATAGCTTATCAAATGAGTTTGAAATGAATTCGATTTTAAAAATTATTTGAATCGTTAAATGATTTTCAGGGTGCACCCGATATTCGAATAAATGTTTTAAAACTATTGTAATGGAAGTTTGGATTTTAATTGGTACGAAAGACAACAAGAAAGAAAGCAATATATAAGAATTAGTTTTTCCAAAAATTCCTACAAGCACTTCACATTGATATTTATCTTCACTAGTTATAATCACTATAGCTAACTACAAAAATTTGAAACCAATGTTCATAGCATATATAAGAATTTAGGTAGTAGTAACAAATAAACTTGATACCAATCATCCAAAGGAGAACAGCGTATGGGATATTAGTGGTATGAATAAATGAAATAAAAAAATATAAAAGAATAAAAATAGATTTAGTTATAATTCCTACTGCCCATTTAATACAAATTCATTATAGTTTGCATCTCATTTCATTTTAAAATCCTTAATATCACTATTTAAAATTTAGGAGAGTATAATGATTCAAAATCAAAATATTGAGGACCGAAAGTCTAATTCAAAGTTGTTGACTAACGGTAATTTGACGTTAATGGACCTTAGGGACCAAATTTATTTTAGATGAAATATTAAAGACCAGTCCAACACGTGACATGCCAAATATTGGA